TTTGGCCCTGGGTGGCTGTGTCAGGCCTCTTTTCCAGCTGTTGACTAACTGCTCCTTGTTCTGTAAACATAGACAAATGAACCCCACAGGAGTGGCTGCCCTGCAGCTCCCCGGTGCCTTAAACTAATGAATTTTTAAAGAGGGCATCAATCAAAGCGCAGGTCAGATCAATAGTCCACGTCTCAGGAGCAGATTTTCACTCAAACATTGCTTCCATGTAGTCATCTTGTCAAGCGTTCTTTCACTACAGACAAGCATAACATTTGTAAAACACTTTTGACACTTGATATGTAACAAAACAATCAATTTTGTTATAAACAGTAACTTATTATCCTTCCTTGAACAATTTTAGGATAGGTTTATGGGCCAAACAGAACATGTTCATTACAATTTTTGCACAAAATTTTTTTAGTCTACTCAGTTCTGCGAATATCAACTCAAATGGAAGGAGTTTCTGAGAACTAAACTCCACAATAAGATGGATGCACTTATAACAGGACAGTAATAGTTACAAGCTCAAACTAACAATGAAGTTGAGAAAATATTCTTTTATGATATATAAACTGTTATGTCTTGGAAATCTGTAACCACATTGCCTGAATAAAAATTCTAAATCAGATCATGTAAAGCAGGACCTTAAATGGCATGGGAAGTAAAAAGACAGTTTGAAATTTTATAAACATTTTAACATTTCTCTAAAGACTATAGAAAGATATTTAAAGATGCTCCTGTCTGATGTTAATACAGACCCAAAGTCTGGGGATTTCAGCGAATATTAATGCTTTATTTCAATCTGATACAACCATCTGCGGTTCAGATTAATCTTCCTAAAGTTTCAATGACGCATATCTATCAATTTATCTCACACAAAACCAGAAGGATTTAAATATAAGGAAGCAATTTTCTCAAATGCAAGCTGCAGTGATAGGAAACAGAGCTAATCTCTTTGATCTAATTTTGACAAATTAGATCATAAACGCCAGAATAAAAAGAGAAAAAAGGACATAGCAAAGGTAAATGGGGGAAGAAGGTACATTGTGTAACAAAAAAGTGAAGACCACCTTCAGAGGTTGAGCCAAGAAATTACAGAAATAACTCATTAATTGGTAAAAGCAGAAGACAGATGACTTATCTGGTTGCTGATATAACAAAACACTTCTGCCTGCGAGACAATTCTTTCATGTTAAGTCAAAAGGAACAAAACACAGGGGGACCATATGTACAGATCAAGAGCCAGAGGCTCTTCATGTTGCTGAGCAATGCTTCATTTCCACTGCGAGTTCATTATAATTTCTCTGCCTTTTCTTTAAAAAGAGTAAAAATAAACAGAACAATGTCCTACAGAATGCAACCAAAAAACTCCAGGTAAGCTTTCTTCTGGCTTAGTGAAACCGTTCCTATTGATAATTTTTATTATTTAAAAAAAAGGACATGTAATAATGCTATTAACTTCATTCATTTACTAAAGTACCTTCTAACAAGTGAACAATACAAGAAAAAAAATCTTCTTTTCTATTTAATGTGAAACATAATTTTTTTATTGCTAAGATAAAGATGCCTTAGTAAAGATCCCCCGTAAACCAGCTCAGTTCTCTGTGAACTTGCTAAATCATGAATGAATTAAGCCACATCCACACCTGATTATTGTCAGATCTGAATAAATTATTTAAATATCATCCACCCAACAATATGTGACGCAAGCTAAAACTGCTAATAAAACAAATCATGCCTTAATCTAAAGAAATGTAATACAAGATAAGATCTTTGACAACTAGCCTGCATAGGCAAACTACCATTTTACATTGATGCAGTATTTCCTCCAATGCAATATAAGCCTGGTGGGCTGCCAGGCTTTATTCCCCCCCTCAAAACAAATATTTAGTTAAGCATGGAAATATGTGTACACATCATTGTCCATTTTAAGTAAGATTTCTTTTCATTTATCTTACTTTTAAGGACAAAAAATGTAAGTTCATTTTGATAGGATTTTTTATGTCTCTATAGTTTGCGTCCCTAAACCTAAGACATCATTGCCAAACTTCCTTTAACATAAAAACACCATGGTTCACTGGTGGCACCCACCACCAGGCTTACGAAGTTTTCTGGAGGGAAAACCTGTAAAGGAGAAAACATCCTAAATGTAGGAATTTCTATTGAAATTCCCACATTTGAATTGTTTTTTCAAAATGCTCAAGAAATACAGCACATTTATAGTGGAATAAATGATGCCTGTGCACTCTTGAACAGTCTCAGTTCAGTTTTGCTTCTCTTACAGCATCCTTCAGCTGCTGGTAATAAGAAAGCCAACATGATCAACTCCAAACGGCAGACTGAGGCAGCGGCTGCTTTTAGAGGAGCATCACATTCATTCTGGCATCTATCCTGCTACTTAAACCACGCACATAATCTTCACATGTTAGGATGTTGTAGCAGCAAACAGCCTCCAATAATCCACAGACACAGAACCACAGTGGAAACATTTGCTGTGTTTGCCTGCCAAGGAAGAGATTTCAACAGCACCAAGGAGGCCGAGAGGAGCAGAATAAAGAAGCTGATCTGTTTGACTAAAAACTTTCTGCATTGTTTCATTTTCAAGGACATTTCTGTGTCCTATCTGGCATCCAGCCCTGCTCTCTTTATCTAAAGTCCACCCGGCCCGTTGTGGTGCACTGAGCTGCAGAGAGCAACCCACAATCCCATCTGCTTGTCAAAGAGAAAAGCATGTAAGCTGCTGGAGCAGCAGGGATTGAAGATCCCTGGGGTAAAGCCTGGGACATTCTGAAAAGCTCTATGGCTTCACTTTTGTTATTTTTCCTTTTTAGTTCAGTTCCAACAGTTTAAAGTTTTAAAGCAGCTCTTCACTCAAAACTTACCTTCTAAAAAGGTTGAAAGCCATAAGACCAAGTCGATGAGGCTTTGCACAGAAAAGAAAAGCCTGGACCTCTTCCACAGTGATGCATTTCTCAGTGAACAAATCCAGTTAAGATTTTTTTTTATCTTAGATCTTAGGTCTTACCCAAGGTTTTCCTATTTTGGGACATTTTGGTGCCAAAATTTGAAATAATATAAATCTTCTCTCAGTTATTATAGCAACATAAAATTCTTATTAGTTTTCTCTCTCTCTCTCTCTATGTTTTTTACATTTTACTATTGTTATGTAACACAGATTAAGAAGAATTTAATCTCTTGGCAAGGAGATGCTAATTATTCTGATGCTGTATGTCTGGTTGTTGTCATTATTACTCTTATTATACGTAGATTTTCTTGTTTTGCTATGAGTTAATTTGTAACCATTTTGTCTGTCGTATAATTTATTTGTTGGCTCTTTGCACAGTATATTTATTGAATAGGCACATGGATCTAGTCACAATTTATTTTTCATTATTGAGTAAGTAAGTAATTTAATGTATGTAATTGAGGTAAGGGGCAGAATTAAATAAGTGTTCACTTCTTTCTACTCATTTTTAAACAGAACAGTTGTGGAAAACAAATATTATTGTTCTTGTTTATACAGACATGTTTTCTCTGTCCTACTGTTTGCGTTTTTTGTTTTTATTTTGTTTTTCAAACCTGTTTGAAATAAATAAATCAAATAAAAGAAACTTAATGAGTTGTTAATTCTAAACAAAAAAGAAAAGTGGGAAGCAATCATATATGTACACACTATAACTACACAAGACAACAAATGGCAAACACCATCCCATTATTAATTAAATCATTAAAAACTGCTTAGAAGAATTTAAGAGCTCTTATTAAACATTTCTTATTTTTCAATCATGTGAATTCACTTCTGGATTTGGCATATATATTATTAACTACCAAAGAAAAGAGCATCATGTGAGGTAATGTTTATGACCTTTAACTAGAGAATGTTTTTCAGAAAAGCCCAAACCAACACACATTTTCAGACCAAAACAAACGCATTTCATCTGAGCGCTAGGACAGAATGTTCCTGTAGGTCAGAGATCCATTCTGGAGCAGAAAGAAATTTCAAAGACATGCACTTTTTCCTCAGTTCAGCACAGACACACCTAATGATTCACTGCTGTGACTGACAGTATTCTATTAAGTCTATTGGTCTCTGAGCTCAAGAACACCGCTGTTGAGACGCATTCAGTCGGAATCGAACAGCGAAAACAGGAACAGAAAAGAAACGTCATCAAAGTTGGCTGCACAGAAGATGAAACAACAAAACAAGATGAAAAACATTTCTGCACAGACACAATCCACCCTGTATGTGTGGACCATAAGGATTTTGTTCAAGATAGATAAATACAGTGTAAGCCTGGGATTATCAAGGGCTTCTTATAAAGAGTCCACTTGAATACAGCCTAACCATTTGTGGACCTCATGTATTGAACATAACCCTATTATGCAAAATTAACATTTGCATGTTTTTTTTGCTTCCATTTGGGTAACAGGGTAAAACAGTCAAAGCATTTAATTTCTTTCTTTCTTTGTTTTTTTGGTATTTAGAAAATGATCAATTTCAAAAACCTTCGGAATGTGACGTCAAATCCGCAGGAAGTTCTCCTCACCTAGCAACCCCAACGAGCTCGTCGCCTGGCAACCCAACACCTGCGCTCATCACCTACGTCAGCACAGAACTCAAACTTACCGGAAATAAACATTAAAAGCCAAATAAACACAGTCGTTTAGCTATTTATTTATTTAGTAAGTTGTTTAGTATTTAGTAATCTCCAATTAAAAGCTCCAACGTCTGAGCTAACATGTTTTAATCTTAACATTGTACGCCTTAAAATTTTGACTAAGAAAAATAAGAAACCTACGGAAGAGGATTAGGGCCACTGGAAAAAAAAAAAAAGTCAGATTTTTTTTCTCCCAGTGGCCCTAATCCTCTTCCGTAGAAACTTGAGTTTAACCTAAAGAAAAGTAAGAAAGAGGTGTGTTTAGACTGTGTGCTATAACCTCTTGCCATAAATGAAGTTTCCCCATCAGTCAGCCTAACAGCTCCACATAACATCTGCTGCAGGCTGCAGGCTGCGTGCGCGTTCACGTCTCAGGTCTGGGGGATGTTGGTGCCGTCTCCGCGCTCCCGCCGCCGGACTGAAAACTATTTTGTCTCTTAAAGAGAATCGACAAAAAAAAAAGCGAAATGTACAGGTAAGTGGCCAAACAATAAATATTTGTCTGTTTCACGTCAATAGCGACTTTTATAAAGTGTTTCAAAAGTTTTTGAAGAGTTAACTTGAGGAAATTGTTCTTGGGAAAACTCAATATGTGGGTGTGTGTCTTTCGGTTCATTGTTTCATGGCTCAGAAAAAGAAGCTTTTCGTATATGCTTTTCAGTAGTTTTCATTTAGATTGTTGTTTATTCTTTAGGAGTTATAATAATTAGATGATACGTTTTAAATTGCACCAGATTCTTTTCGTTTTTTGAGGTTGAATGTTGCAAAGAATGATTTTTTTCCTTTCTACTATCTTTTGTCTGGAGCAGATCCTCTGATCAATGAAAATGTAATTGTTTTTCTGTACCGCTGCAGACAGGGGGAAAGCAAAACAATTTGATGGAAAATTAAGATTTGCTTCTTTTTGATGTCATCGGTTTCAGTTTTTGCCGAGGTATAGGTTATGTTTCATGTTTACATTTATGTTGTTGTTGTTGTTTAGCTGAGTTCCGAGCAGATTTGATCAAACTGTTGGTGAGAAATGAGAAAGTTCTCAGGCTGGATAAAGAAGCCCTTCATGATGCTGCGAGTTTAACACAAATTAATCAGATTAAGTCGTTACAACATTCCATACTGTAATCTCACACAATCATCCAGGCAAAAATGCAGGTTTGCCATGTTATAACATTTGAAGTTTAGCCATGTACCCAGTGCACCTGGAGCAGATTCTGTAACTGCTGTGTAAATGAGACCATGATGATTCATTTTACCTTTACTTTAAATGTGTTTCTAAATGCTCGTGTCATAGTTGGAGCTGTTCATTTACTCAGCACTGACAAAAATCAAAATTCCAACTGGAAGAAGAAAAGTTAACCCCAGGTCATGATGCTGCCATCACCGTGTTTCACTCTGAGGTTTTGTTGATATCCAGATTTTTGAATGCGGACAAATAACACTGCTAATTCTTAAAGAAGTCAGGGTTGTTAGCAAAATTACCTAAAGTTAGCAATCTACTTCTGTTCCAAAATTTTTGCGTTTTCACCTTTCAGACAAATTTGTACGATGGCGCAGTAAGGTCATCATAGAGAGAAAATTTGGAAGAGTACATTTTTGCCAAAAAAAAAAAAAACAACAACTCAGAATTTCAGAAATTTCAGAACTCCAACAGTAAAAAAAAAAATAAAAATAAAAAATTCAGAGAAAAACTCAAATTTTGAGATTTTCAGAAATCTTCTGGAAAAAAATCAGAAATGTTCAGTGTTTCAAGTCAAAAATTATTCAGTCAAATTCTGAAATACATATATATTTTAATTAGACTGAAAAATTTACTTTTGTTTCCAAAGAAAAGAAAAAATAATTATTGTTATTATGGTCTAATTTCTAACAGGACAGAACACTTTTGAAATCTGCCAATAAATACAGTTTGAACAAGAAGAAAAATAACCACTTTTGAAATGAGACGGCAAACAAGTCAGGGTTTTGTTTTGGTCTGATATTGCAGGTTTAATTAAGGTGTTATTAAAGCTGAGAGTGAGAGTTGTTTACCCAAAGTGTATTTAAAGCTCTTGACTTTATGAGCCATTAATTATTTTCATGTTGATTATTTTGTTTTTGTTCCAATTAAACTATTTTAAAAAAGCAAGTGCTCTTCAAGTGCTTCATGTGCGTCATATTTAAAGCCAGACTAAAGGCTGTTGATTATCTCATCCTCTCCATGGGTTCAGTTATATTTCATCTTAGCAGCTCTGACATTTCTGCTAGAAATATTCTGAAGTAGGGTGGAAATGTCGCCAATCAGGCTGAAGTTAACAAGTATCCTCTCCTCCACAGATGAGCATCTATCTGTAAGTCAAGCTCGGACAATCAGCCAAACCTTGATTGGACTCCTTTCTTCTTGACGAGTCGGACGCTTAGGGTTGGCCATGGAGACGGTGGTGATCGTGGCCATAGGGGTGTTGGCCACCATCTTCCTGGCCTCCTTTGTTGCTCTGGTGGTGGTGTGCCGACATCGTTACTGCCACCCTCATGACCTGCTGCACCACTTCGACTCCAAGTCAGTCAATCTGCACAAAGCCTCTACAGAATATGAAACATTAATATGAATATATCAACTTTTAGCACGGCTTGGGCCTGAAAAGCAAAAGGGTTGTTAGTGTTGGCTCATAAAAAGAAGCTTTTGCATTGGGTTTGGAAAAATTGAAGAGACCACTGCACTGAACCCCGTTGAAAACCTCAACGGGGTTCAACGTTTTCCCTCCAAATATTAATTTCTGAACTCTTCCTGGGTTAAAACATTAGCGTTGTTGTTTCTAAATGAATCTAATCTTTTTTATTTGCGTTATTTGAGCTCTGAAAGCACAACATCTTTTTCATTAATTTGACCTTTTCTCATTTTCTGCAAATAAATAAAGTGTTTTTGCTTGGAATACCAGAGACATGTTGTCAGTAGGTCACAGAATAAAAGAACAATTTATTTAAACATATACCTGTAAAAAGTAAAATCAGAAAAATTGATCATTTTAAGTGGTCTCTTAATTTTTTGCAGAGCTGTATATTAAGTTAATGAAAAGTAAACTGTGTGTTTGTGGGTTTTCCTTATTTTGTTCAAACCAAGGAGAGAATTTGGACACACTGACGAACACATCAACATGATAAATAGAAAAACTAAAAGTTGTGTGCATCTTTTCCTAAAAAAAAAAAAAAAAGAAGAAAAAGACCAAAGAAGCCATCCAGCAGCCCAGCTGTGGAGGACACTTCAGCAAAAATATTAAATATTGCATATTTTCTTAAAATCAAAAGAGAAAATTGTGATGGAAAATTGGATTGTTTGGTAATAAAGTCAGCCACAGGAATAAAATCAGATGGTATCAGACAATATTTATGTTAAAAGAATATAATACATATTGAATCGTGTGTAAAAAAAAAACATTCTAAAAGTTGATATTTCTTCACATATTTTGTAGCATTATCTGTGGTTTTGCACAAGGGGTCACAAAGGTCATGGCATGAACGAAGTTGGGAACCCCTAATGTAGTGGACATGAACTGGTTTCACTTTGGTTGCAAACACATCTTTAGCCATTCTCACCTTAAATACCAGCAGTACATTTTCATTAAATTCTTCTTAAATACATTTTCACCAAATTCTTCTTTCCCTGTTGTCGGACAGACCCACAGTGGATCTGATCGGGGCCATGGAAACGCAGAGCGAGCCTTCGGAGCTGGAGCTGGACGACGTGGTTATCACCAACCCTCACATCGAAGCCATCCTGGAGAATGAGGACTGGATAGAGGACGCATCGTATGTCGAACCACAATAAAGTTCAGACATCGTCTCTGTTGTTTTTAGTTGCTAAATTTTTAATTTGTGTTTAACAGCGGCCTGGTGTCACACTGCATCTCTATTCTGAAGGTAAAGTTACTCCTTTTTTTTTGTTACAGTATAATATTATTGATTTAACCAATATATCTATTCCTCACACAGATCTGCCATACTTTGACTGAAAAACTGGTGGCCATGACAATGGGATCAGGGGCAAAGGTCAAAGCACCCGCCAGTTTGAGTGACATCATCACAGTGGCCAAACGAATCAGTCCAAGGTAACCTGTCTCACTAGAACTTGATGTTATTACAGCTCTGACACCAGCTGACTCGTGTTCTCGTTTTGTGTCCTGAAGGGTGGACGATGTGGTCAGGTCTATGTATCCTCCTCTGGATCCAATCCTCCTGGATGCCAGGTAGTCACACCCGAGTTTGATTGCTGAAAGAGAAGAGTTTGAGCTGCTTGTTTTTTCAAATTTATGCATCTTGTTCCTCCTCAGAGCCACTGCTCTGCTGCTTTCAGTCAGCCACCTGGTGCTGGTCACCCGCAACGCCTGTCACATGTCCGGCAGCCTGGACTGGATCGACCAGTCGCTTCACGCGGCGGAGGATCACATGGTGGTTCTGCGTGAAGCGGCGCTGGCGTCTGAACCAGAGCGAATCCTGCCTGGAGCTGATGCTCAGAGAGAACAGGCCATTTGAGGAAAAAACCTGGAGCAGCATAAAATCTACCGTTAAAAATACAAACCGTGAAAAAACAGTTGCATTCCAACACTGACCTGGTGATACGTACTAAAATAGACATTTCAGTTTCACATCCATGGCTCTCCAGTGAACAGAATGTTTTTAGAAACATTTTCTGAAACCCACCATCCAGTAGTGGGTCTAAATCCAGTCTAACCAGCACTGCAGTCACAAGGAGGCTTAGTCAGCTAATCCATCCGGACGAAAATAACATCCATTAGCCAGTGAACCTGAAGGCGCTCCAATTCAGTGTAAAAAAAGTTAGAGAACCTTGGCTTGATCAGTATGTGTGGGGTCAAGTTAACTTTGGGATTTGGTGAGAAAAAAAAGGAATGCATTCTTCGAATACTCTGATATAAATGGAGTAAGTAAAATACAGTTCTTTCTCTGGAATTTTTTATTAGTTTTTCCCCTTCACTTGTGACACACTTGACATGTTGCAGCTCTTTTCAATGGAGGACCAATTCAGCTCAATATTGGAAATCCTGCCAGCGTAACAAAAAAGCTCAACCTCTAAGGTCCTGCGTTGGATACACACCATAGTTTCTGCATGTGAAAGTTTGTATTTTCAAGCATATTTCACTTCCAGTTTCATTTATGACAAATTGCTGCCATCTTGGTCTTGATGCCAAAACCAATCCGATGTGTTTTGAGCTGTATTGGATGCACAGCTCCCAAAAAAGTTACACTTTCATCTCATCAGTCAACAGATTTTTCCTAAAGTCTTATCAAGCCTGTAAAAGACAAAAACCTTTGAAAAATTTGAAGGAAAATTGGAGAGAAGGCTTTGTATCATTTTTCATCAGGGGAGGAGTGATTTTGGTTGATGGAGTGATTTTGGTTGGCCGGTCACTCCTGGGAAGGTTCACCTTTGTTTTGTGTTTTCTCCATTTGCATTTTCCTGAAGCCCCAAAAGCCTTAGAAACGTCTTTGTAATCTAGACTGAATACCTTTTCCCCCCATCTGTTCCTGAGTTTATTTCAATTTAAACATGATGTGCAGCTTTCTGAAAGCTACTCAAATGAATGAAACCATCATTTGAAAACTTGCTTTTTCTATTTACTTGTTAACTGGTATTAAGATACAAAAGATTTTAAGGGCATGTTTTTACAGCGATGTGTTGGTGTGCCATTTTTTGTTGATTGAAACAGAATTAGCTTTTGTCTCTTTGGGCCGGCGGGATGTTATTGGAGCATGTCTACCTGCTCCTTCATGCATAGATAATAGTGAATCCCCAAGGAGCTGTAATAAGGCATTACCCACGGACTATGTGAACACACTGGCCTCGGTTACAGTCCATGTCGCTTTGTACGCAAAGTCCTGGCATGAAAATAACAGTTGAATGACAATCAGAAATTGTGGGAATAGAGGAGGTGTTTTCTGCTAGATTTATAAAAGAAAAGCGAGAACTCAAAACACACAGATGTTTTTTTGTAATGAAAGAAGACTTAGAAATTTCTTATTTTCTTTTTTTGTTTCCATGTTTATAAGCATTGACATGCACTGATTCATTTTAAAATATATGCTTTGTTTTTCCCATTTTCATTTGATGTTTCTTGCTTATTGCCATTGATTTTTATTTTTCATTAACTTGCACAGAAACAAAATGTCCTATAGGAACCATGTGGTTACTTTACAAAAATCGTTTTCCAGTTAAAAGTTCACACACTCATTATTTTGACATAAATAAAGTGATTTGTCTTCCTCTGTTTATTACGCTCGGAACAGTCTTTGGTGCGATAAAAATGGCGCTATCCCAGCTTCACCTTCCGTTCTTATTAAAGGCAGAAATCCCAGGTGCAGAACCGCTGCTTGCCTTTAACTCGATCCGGATGTCTGATAAAACAACCCTTTGCTTTTCTTCAGATCTGTTTGCTTCCAGCTGGGAAGAGAGGCATATTCATCCCGCTTCATTTCCAAAATAGCCTGAAATAGAAGCAATGTAGAAGTTAGTTTACAAAATCAACAACAAATATTAATAAAGTTCTGCCTTTATCTCTGAATTATGACTCTCCTATGAGAAAATAGGCATTTATTTCAGGTGAACACTGCACTCTGCTGCTTGAAAGATGCCACTGCAGTAGCTTTCAGGTTACCTGGAAGTCCTGATCAGACAGGTAGACCTCCAGGTGCTGCGGGTCCACGCCTGCAGGTAAGGGGCTCCGCAGCAGCTCTTCCACAGGGTACTGGGTCTTCATGAGCTGGGCCAGGGCGTCCTGCACCAAGGTCAGCTTCACTTCCCCAGAGTCCCTCTAATTCACATCAACATAAAACAGTGACACTAAGCAATAGCAAAATGGAGTCTGTACCAGAGCAATTATTAAACGAAAAAAAGAAAATGCTTAATTTAAAGTTTAAAAAATGATACTAGTTCTAAAGTTTTGTTTTAGAATTGGAAATATTTCAAAAAGAAGTTGACGACTGATTCCTTTACATAAGAACGAAAAAGGAGAATTTCGTCTGAGATTTTGTTCACAGCAGTTATTGGTGAGGAGCTTCCCTCCAGAAAGCTGCAGAATTTGTTTCCCTAAACATGTAAAACAGTTGAGTCACTTCTCCCAGGGGTCATAGCGTGTAGAAGCTCAAATAAATATGCAACACAACATCTAGCCTATTTTCTGGAAGGAAACACTAATCATGCATACCTGTGTGAGAGGTCCATGGTTCCTCTCCCAGCGGGGGAAGACATTAGTGAAGGTGAGAGGCTCTGATCCCTCAAAGATGAGGTAAGCCTGTGGGGGCCTTCTTGGGTTTATCTCTGGTTCAGAGTGGATGCATGAGAGGATATCAAACACAGAAAAAACATTACACAAATGCCTTCATTTCTAAGGCAATTAGCCATGAAAGTAATTCCCCTGACCTTTGCAGTACTGCAGAGCCGTCTGCATGGCACACTTTCTCTCACTGTGCCAGAGGCTCCAGGCTGCAGCAGAGCTCTCTGTTTGCTCAGGCTGGCCTCTCTGCCACAGGTAGACCTCTAACCGGTTGTCAAGCAGGAATAAGGCTGATGACAGAAAGCAGAGAAAATTAAAGGATAACATGGAGTAAAATTCAGTTATGTCTGACTTCAGGGATTATTCGCGCCTGACACATTTGGTCCGCTTAAATGGATCAGTCTGTTTCCTTGGTTGATCCAGACTTTTTGTGCAGGTGTGAATACACTCATAAAAAATGCCTTTTTGAGGTGGTCTGGCTCCGCTACCAAACTAACTTTGGTACCGTTCACTTCAGCTGTAAATACAGACCGGCCTCAATGCAAAACAACTACAGGAAATAAACGTCTAACTGGACTTCATGAGCCACCATTGCCAGGCCTTATAGTAAAAAGGAGCCCTTCACGGGCGTACAAAAATGTAGAGTTTGAGTTATTTCTATATATTTTAAATTATTTACAGCTTAATGTGCTTAAAATTTTTCCATATTTTTCACCTGGTTGAGGAACCGAGTACAGGCTTTCCTGGACAAAGGGCATCGCCATCACGACCCCTGGCAGCCGAATCGGACTCCGAAGCTCCTCTGCTTCAAATGTACCAGAAGAGGCACTCAGATGGAAAAGGCGGGGAGTAAAGTTGTACTTGCCAGGATCTGCAAGAAGAGAACAGAAATGTTGTCTCTTACTGTAGTTTCAATGATAAAACCTAAAATGTGTGTCATGTTGCACCTTGCAGCATGCAGTCATAAGCCTTTCTGTCCATCTGGCCCAAAGCGGTCCAGAAGTCTGAGGGTTCTGAACCCTCCTCTACAAAATGCACCGTCACAGGGTTGCTGCTGCAGAGGCCCAGTTCTGTCGGACTCCTGAAAAACACCAAACTCAAAAACAGAAAGCTGGAAACAAATACAGCACTCAGACAGAAAACTAGATTCATGCTTTACATTTCAGTGAGATGCTCCACTGCCCTCTTACTAACTTCTCGGGTGCTGCTGTGGGCTTTACAGCCGGTCCAGAGATACAGCACCCCCTGCTGGCTGTTCAGCAGGACGACTGAGCCCCTCGACCTCAGGCTGGAACAGCAGCAATCCCCCTCTAGCAGCAAAGCCTCCTCTGGGAGCTCCCCTCGCACGCAAAACAGACGCCAGTCTGCTGTGAGAAAAACAAATGTTATTACAGTCAAATACGAAACCCGGGAAAAAGTAGAAGCAGATTTTACTCCACCTGTAGTGGAGGTGGGTTCTTCTCGCTTTCCTTTGTGAATAACCAGACCTCCCTGGAAAAGCTGCAGGAAGCAGGGGGGTTCCTTACCCTGAGGAACAACCAGCTACAGAAACAACCCACAGACTATAAGACCCAATGCTTTATTAAACAGTACAAAACATAATTTCACACATTTATGGCTGAAAATGAGCAGAATCAATGGTGTGAAGATTTTTGAGTAAATATTTTGTATGTTAATTAAGAAGACTGCAAACACTGACACTATTTTGAAAAGCTACCTATTCGTACATATTTACAACACCATACACATTCTTCCTTAGCAGTTCTAGAACTGCTATAAAACTTCTATAAAATTCCCTAAACATTAATTGGCGTGTAATATTTTGACTGTACTGGGTCTAGGATCTTTAAATGTATCCAAGAGTTTACCCTGGTTTCTACTTTTGAGTGACAGAACTAGATTTCTACAGCTTCTTTGACATTTAAAGTGAAGAAGTCATCCATACTTGTGAGTCTTCATGGCTGTTCATCCCAATGGATAGAAAAGCTGCCGTGTCCTGTCCGCTGACACTGGAATGGCGTCCTCGCCACAGGAAGAACGCTGTGTTCTCCTTTGGTTTGGAAGCATTCCCACCATCATCCTGGCTGTTCCTGTTATCTACAATGAACAAAAAGAAACATTAAGGTGAAAAAAAATCAAGTTTGTTTGTTATCATAACTTTCCATCATCAGTAACCACTGACCAAACCCAGTGATGCTGTATGTCCAGCGGATCACGTAGGAATCTCCTTCGTGAAGCTGCCCTGTGCTCTCCACTTGAATTTCACTGTCGTCAAACTCCTGGACGTGCCAGGTGTCCACGGAAACGGTCCTCAGCTCCATCTGATGGCCTTCCTCCGGGGTGATGACACCCTGGCCTCGATGAACATCAACCCCGGAGAGAACAGTCCGGACTGAAGCGTCTCCTTCCAGCAGGCCACCAGATGCCAGAGCTTTAATGTCGCAGGGAGTCAGGACGTCTATTGATGGTGGTTCAACGGGGAGGGACTGAAAAATTAATATTATAAATCATGGATATGTAATATTGTTTCATTTTAAGTGGGTAGTGTTATGTGTATTACAGGCTAGTTTATAGCCTCTGTATACCACAATGAAGAACATTGTTAACTTCAGTTGTTATAAAAATGCTGTATGTATCAAATATGGCTTAAAAGAAATTTGACTTTGTATTTTAAAACCTTCTCTCTTTAAGAAACACCTGCTCTCTGTGAAAATCCACCTTCAGAAAATTATCACAGCACCGCTCCTTTATGAACCCTTTAACAACATTTTTACCACTGTAACACTGAGAAGTAGCTCCAACAACAAGCTCAGCAGTTCAACCAGGTGTTTGCTAATTGTTGCTGGATAGTCTGAAGGAGCTGAATGGGGATGTAAAGCTCAAAAAAAGTACATTTTACATTATACTGCATTACATTATATTACAAAAAAAAAACACTATTTTAGCTGTATTGGTTTTGCTCGAGAGGACAAATGAGATCAGAGTGTAAACCACTGAACCGTGAGATTAACCTGCATTGCATTCCCCTCTGAAGCGACCTCCACCGTGTCGTCGCTTCCACACATCGGGCTCAGGAACTTCTCCCTGAACAGCGCCGTCTGGTTGTCCTCGCTAACCACGGCGAGCAGGGCCCAGTTGGGACGACCCTCTCCCCTCCTGAGCACAAAGCCGCATCATCATAAGACCACCATGAATACTAATGCAGTTGTTACAGAAGCTAAATCTGAAGCTGAGTCCAACACGCTTGACGTACAGAAAATCCATTCCCAAAATATATAACACAGCTCCCAGCAAGGCTGGAGAAACTGAAGTCAGCAGTTTGAAAACAAAGTTGGAGCCAGTATGTTTTTTCTCCTAGTTTTTTTATATTAAAACTGCATGATTGTTTTCATGCACGAATTGTTCCCCAATAGGACTGAATTTAAATCAGAATTAAAGGGTGGGTGTGTAACCAAATTATTATTACTCCTCATATTTTTATGAACATATTTCTTTGTTTTTAAGATCGAATCATATTTTACCTGCCACGTTTCATTCACAATATAAAATACATACACAAGTGCTTCATTTTTTATAGTCTGACTGCACTGAACCCCATTGAAAACATCATGGCTTTTCCACCAAATATTGATTTCTGAACTCTTCCTGAATCAAAACATGAGTGCTGTTGTTTCTAAATAAAATTAACTTCTTTTCTTTGCATTATTTGTGGTCTGAAAGCACTGCATCTTTTTGTTATTTTGACCAGTTCTCGTTTTCTGCAAATATACAAAAGAATTTTGCTTGGAATTTCAGAGACATGTTCTCAGTAGTTCATATATTGAAAGAACAATGTTCATTTTATTCAGACATTTACCTATAAAGACTAAAATCAGAGAAACTGATCTTTTTCATCAACACTAAGGAATTACTGAATTAAAACAAGCTTCAGTTTCTTGATGAGAAGTTACTTGTCAGTTAGTTTTTTCTTATTTCAAGTGTAATGACATATTTGCAACA